TCTTTCTTTGATTAACAACCGAGTAAGTAGACAAAGTAGAACATACAAGGCTTGCTGACCAGCACAATGGGATATGCAAAGTCAGTATCATATCCGGTGAATAGAAATGTGGCATACACCGAGTTTCGAGCAAAAATACTGCGAGGGGTATTTTTCGCCATGTTGGGGTCGCGAGTGTGCCGAGATTTCTCCCCTCATGAGGGGAAGCTGTGACGCCTGGACCTTCCGCGGCTTGTAAGTCATTATTGCCAGCATAAGAATCAACAGCCTTGAACCAAGAAAGACGCATGACTCATAAAGGACTCTACATTGGGTTCTAGCTATTCTCTGCACTACCCCTTTGAGAAGTAGTAAATGTGGGGCTTTCGTCCGGAGGCAAGTGGAAAGTAGTGAAGTCTAACCCGACCAATCAATACCCGCAGACGTTCCTCCTCCTTCTTGCATAAAAAATATCTATCTTTATACGCACCTTCCAATTGAAATTACAACGAAGCCTAGTAATCACCAGAACCTTGGAATATGAGCCGAGGACAATGTTAGTGGTCGTAGCGCAGAAAATATCTGCTGATTGAATTCGCCACACCAAATCCATAGAGTAAACCACTCATAAGGCATTTGCAACAGAAATATCATTCTAGAATTCCAATGCGCTAAAAACTGCGGGGCGACATATTGTCAGAATGCTGTCGAAGTTTCCAACAGGGGTGGGGGGTCGGAGTAGAAACCTTTTCTATGTCTGTTCGATTCACCTTCAACAGCTCTCGCTGCTTTTCCTTTTTTTTTTTGGCTCTATCTACTCTATCAAGTCTGTCTTACTTTACTATACACGATCTTTTACTGACCAAATAAAAAAGCAACGTCAGAATAGCGATGATACGATGTCTGCCGATATGACAGACTTCCTACCAACCTCCAACTGTACGACGAAAAACCCGCGTTTCTTTTTTGTCAATGGAAATGAAGCCGAATCCCGCAAACATGCCATGCGAGAACACTGGAGGAAACGAAAGGAACGGAAGATGGCTGCTAGGGAACATGACAAACCATTTCGATTGCTCCGCTTTGTCTCCAAAAAGGACCATATGGTCTGCAGAATGGAAGCTCAAAGCCATTCCGATGATCCAATACTGAGTCAAGCCCATCCATACAGCTGTGGAGCTACGTCGGCCTCTACCCGTGGGTACCCGTCAAACATGCAGCCCAATCCATATGAAGACACGTTAGCGGCTGCGGTGGTCCAAAGTCAGGCTGAATATCGCAAGACACTCGCCCCTGAAACGTGCTTACCATAACACTAACATATTTCATAGGCCCCTGCAACACATCACAGCCTCCGAAGGGCATCTTAAAAGACAGCCTTGACCCAATGCCTGGCATACATGAGGTATGCAACCTCAGGGTTGGAGATGCCTCCTTCGATTCTTTGGTCCCTCATGGCGCTATTGAGGACCCGGTCATTATACTTGACACCAAGGTGATGTTCCATTCCCCTTGATATCGCAAATACACTAACCATAGCCTAGGGACTGAACCATTTGCAACGCAAAAGCACAGAGCTCTATGGTGTCAATGGTGCGTCTTGTGTTGTTGCTAGCAAATTGTAATACTGTTTCAAAGCGTCAATAGGATGAAGTTAGGTCCATAAACCAGAATTTACCACTTTTGCTATCAAGATCGAGCTGTGACAGCCTGTGGTATCGTATCCTAACATTCTACTTGAAGCGCTTTCAAGCCAGCCTACTAAGAAAGCTACTTTATCACGAGGATCCGCCACGCTACTGATGGCTGCGATGACATGTACTGAAAATAACCACGTATGGGCTCCAAGGAAAGACGACTTATATTAGGAAACTTACTGATAGACTAGTGATAGTTGCTCTTTCCGCTTGGCTGCCGAGCGCTAATTAATTATGGGTGTACACCATAGCGTGGAGATACATGCTACAGTGCCGTTTGGTCCTGTCCTTCACAAGCCCAACATCAAAACAGGGTCCCCCCTTCTCTTGCTGGCTCTTATTGGCTCTCCTTTACGCTGTTTTCTACTGCCAGCGAAATAAGCCAAGAAATTTCAACTTTCAATTTATGAAAACTATATGCTGCCCTCGTTGAGACGAGTGTCTGTCCCGAGGGCTGATATCCATTAACTGCGAAGGCAGCACATCAACTGTTTGTAATAGACTAAGTGACTTGCAATTCCGGAGATGGATTTCTGGATATTCATGGATCACTGTTAGTTTAGAGAACACAGCCGACTCTTTAACTGTGGGCACTGACCATTATCGAAATACCTGCGAGTCGTCCTGGCCGGCATATCTGCCAGGAGGAAAGTTGTATTCGTCGTCCAAATGCTCCTTAGCAGCCATAAGAGGTCCCCATTTACGCTTCATAGCTTTCAGATGTTGCTTGAGACCCGATAATACAGTAGTAGGATGTGGGGACTCTGTAGAGGACAGAGCAAGGCTATGAGTATGAACAGATGTTGTTTTATTCATTTTTGCGGAAACACCCGTGGGAAATGAGATGAAGGGAGATATCTGACAAGGTAGCTTTGAAACATTTCAGGTTCCCAGCTGATTCTGGATGAGAAGTCTAACAATTTATAGCTTTCAGAATTGACAAGTTGCGACCACACGGTACAGCCGCTCCAACCACTGTTGGCCGAGCCCCAGCCGAAATATCTGCGTCTTTTCTATTCTCAAAATACAACATACCTAGCACCTCTCTACAAATCAGCTGTCGGGTGTCATAGTCAGCGTGGATGAATAATGGATTCAGAAAGCCCATTTAGGCTCCAGAGCATGCAATCTGGCGGTGTGACATGGTTTGAAGTTGGGGAGGAATGATTGGAGTTCTAGTATTACCAGATCAGGAAATTTTGCATGTGGACGATCCAGGAGCTGCATTTGCCGAGCTATCACCGAGGCCGTACCCCAAAGTCGACTTGCTTTTTAGAGTGACGTTGGCTATGACTCAATGGTATCGTTTTTATAATCGTGCGGAGATCACTTTCCCCTCGCGAGGAGACGGGTATTTCCCTATAGAAAATTTTCAGTCGCCCTTTGCCGGTAATACATACGGAGTTTCTTGCAATTGATAGCGAAGAGAGTCTGTCTGGGCCTTGAAATAGTATGTAGGATACAAGGCAGGCGAGGCCGATACTTGATTGATTCCACTTGGCTGAATCTCGGCACTTTGATTTATAACATTTTCTGACATCATCTGGAATCTCTGATGCCACACTAATATAGTAACATCGATTGCTGCTTTTATGGGAATCAAAATTTGGCTCAATTAGCTTGGCTTTAAACCATGATGGTCCCTATCGTTTTCAGGGGCTGGGTGGTAGTCTCCATGGGTAGTAACAATGTAGATCACGCCTCATGGGTTAGATGGCTCAGAATTGGAGGCGGATCATAATTTTCATGGTCCCTAGCTATGCGACCATACTTTGGACGAACGATGAAAATTCTCGTGATTCATACTATAAGATTGGTGTTCACAGAAAGGGATCCTAACCCGCACAGTGCAGTACACATAGAGGACAACCATATTAGAAACGCCATTGCAGCCTTCAAAGCCCTATCTGACACTAACCCATTTGAGGAATTATCTTGCCATAAGAAAAGTTTGTATTAAACTTTCTACCAAAATCCCTTGATATATACGTATCTCTCGGAAATCGTTTACAGTACTTGAAGACTTGAACTAAGCTTACCTTCCTCCGCCATTTAGTGACTGATTTTTGGCCCGGAAGAGACACCCCGGTACCAAAATAGATTACATAGCCAGAAAATCCAATTATCACGCTCTGTGATCGCGGAGACAATTTCACTTAATCTTTGGTGCAAGTTCATCATTCAGTACTCCCAATAGTCCAAATATCTGGGCTGGAGTTATTCACAAATTGGTCTCTTTATACACACTGATGTAGCTAGAATGATGCCGCACGTACAAGAACAGGTACTAAAGGTTTTAACTAGTCATATCCAACGCACTCCTCAATAGACTCTATGCAACGACAGACAACGATTTCTTAAAATCTTGTCTCTACTGCCCTGCGCAAGTACAGCATTTCGGAGCTTGTCATACTTCCGGTCCTTTTTTAACAGAGCTTGACTGTTATTTGACCAGCCTACGGTAGGTCTTAAGAGAGCATAGGAAGGCAAACCCCACCAGAAGTCGGAATTAAATTACGATGTGGTTATTCGTGACATTCCGGTATGTCGTAGATATCCGTGCCGTCGATTCGCTCTCAGCCTTTGATGATTTAGTCATAAGCTCTGCTGGAATCTACGGAGTTAAAATTGAAGAACTTACCATGAGGTCCTCGGAGATAGCCATGCAAGATGCTTATGATAAATATTGCTCGCAACAGTTAGGATCTCGGGGCATGTTAGTTGGTACTCGTCGATCTGGTCCTCATAGCGAAAACAAATCACTTTTCCATGAAATATACCAATGATAAGTGAATATTCTTCGCATTCATCATATTACTAATTGCGATTACACCGGTCTTTAAGCCTTTTATTCCTCATTTTGATTGTGAATATTGCAATTGCTATAGCAAGGTTTAGAGCGGGTTGGGAGGAACCCCAGACCCCCAACCAAACCCCAAGTCACCGAGGAAACGCTTTTTCCCAACCGAACTCACTGTAGACGATAGCCCAGAATTATAGTTCTCATAGATTCAGCCCTGGATAGCTTAGTGAGTACGTCACCGAAATCTGCAAATTCAGACGAATAGAATGGAGAACAAAGTGGCTCGGAGTAATTGCAAACTGAAAAGCGTCGGTCAATTTGAGTAAACAAATGCACATCAATTAGGTTGATCTCTTAGGCGAAACGACCATTTGCACAAGATGCCTTTTAAACACAAAGATCCACAATTCAATTCTTGTCACAAGTTGGCGGCCGAGTATAAATGAAATTTGATTCCTCTTCAAAGCCACCTTGATGATCACTATGGGTGTTCTGGTGGCTATTAAAGGAAAGAGACTGTCTCAGACTTGGTTTGCCCCTGTGGCATCCCGGGTAGCCTCTAGGTTGCCAGCCTCCAGGTTGGCGGCATGCATTTCACCGCTGGTCCCCTCGGCGTTGAGGTTTCTCTTTTCATGCAGCTCTGAGCAGCTTCGATGCTTTTTGTCGTCGATCCAGAGCGACAAGGCTTCAAGAAATAGTGCAAAGAATGTGAAGATGCTATAGTAATGTGAGCTGATGATAATGATGATAGTAATTAAATGGAGGCCATTGACTCATACAATACCAGAAAGATGAAGGCTTCATTTGCCCATTTCTTGGAACATGCGACCCCAGGGGGTGCGTTGGCATTGCAATTGTTCTGGTTGTAGTCCACTGCGGAAAATATGAATGCAGCGAGCCAACTGGGAAACGTCAGTAACTTATTTTGGATTTTTCTTTTGGTTCAAATGGCCTCACAGATATGAAAAAATCACATCAATGAAAACCACAAAGTCCTTCACTGGTGTGGTCAAGAAAGGAGATACAAAGGCAGGTAAAAAAAATAACCACGGAAACAACAGCCTATTTCCATCAGTATCAAATAATGCCTCAGTCTTACTGTCTGCTTACTATGATTTCCACATAAACGATGGTCAGTCCGCGGGGCCCAACATTGATGAATGAGGACGTTATGCCGAGAACTATCACGCTACTCAGCCACTGAATGACTCTGTTGCAAAGTAGGAAAAAGGTCATTTGGCCGTCGGTCAGGTAGGGGATTTTGGAAGTCATAGTGTCTGAGTGGTATGTAGTCCCGGACAGATGTAGCAAAATCCACAACGTTTTGAATGATAAAAACTTTCTAGGAAGGTATGACCATGCTTATACAGTTAATGAAAGGATAGATTCCAGTGTATATAGCTCATCTAGTCTTACTAAGTTTGAGGGCTTCATGATGTCAAGACTGCCTAGTTATTATTTGGCCTGAGTAACAAAACCCAAATGTCATCTGCGTCTGCATGGTCAGCATTTCTACCGGCCATTCCATGGAAACACTTTTTTCTTCAACTCCAGTGCAGAACCTGAAGGTGGAAAAATTTGGAAAGAAAAGTTTTGGCACTGTACATGGCTGGCTGTCAGTGTCTGGGTTGCCAGACAGTTGGAAAGCACTGAAACCTTGCCGAGAACCGCAGCCACAAGTCAACCACAAGTGGATCTCACGTCATAATTGTCTCCGAAGTTTGGCTATTGGAGTCGCATTATGATTCGAGAGTAAAGGATGAGAAAATGTTTCATAATTGAGCGAGAATCGTGCTGCGGTTTTTCTAATAATCCCGTTTTTCGGAATTGTTACAATATCTTTCTTAATCTTGTCTTGCATTGTGGAATTTACATGAAATGGAACCTCTTCCGAATCCACAGCCAAAAGCTGTGCAGATATTTAACCGAATTGTGATAGTGTCGTTGGCCATGACCCGCATCCCCGACAATGGATAATTGTGATTTTTGCAGATAATGGAATGTATGACGGCAAATTGGACAGCTAGCATCCTTTGAAACCATCCACTCGTCGATACAAGGCTTGTGAAATATGTGGCTGCACGGAATCTGACGAAAGGTAGATTCGGACTCCATATCTTCAAAGCAAAGATCGCAAACACTGGGCAACAAACCGACTGATAATATATTAACACGGAACAAATTGTGTGAAGCATCAAGACAGACATACAGGTGGATTTCTCCTCGCACTTGGTATAGCATGGCATAGCTGCGGTCTCGATATCTTCGATACTGAGCGGAACCTGTCCGCTTGCTGAGGATCTGTGAGTAAATGATGACAAGCTTTCTCTCTGCATCATCGACTAAAGTAAGAAGCATAAGGGTTCTAAAAAATGTCAATGTTTGGATTTGAGCGTAGAAGCTCATGGCGTCAATTTGTATTATTTCCCCACATATTCTTTTTCGCGCATTCAATAAGTGGCGGAAACTCTAACTTGGATAGAATTCCACCATAAATCTTTTATAGAATCTGATAGGCACAATAGTATTACTCAAAGAAGGTGGCCGCTCGGCGGCGCCTTTTGGCCTTATCAATTGGGAAAGTTAGACTGCACCGACCCACTCCAAAACAGTTGGAACGTCATCGTTATTCATTCACAGACTGTCGAAAATACCCACCAGTATGCTTTTCTAATTTGAGTATATTCACTTATTTGTGCATTCCATACAGAAGAACGGATAGATAATTGTAGTATCCTAATGATGTAGAAACCTCTGCGGTCGCGGTAAGACCGATCGTGAGGCTTCTTCATCGATTTCGTGGTTCTGCATCGTGGGTTACGGTTCTTTTCTAGCCCTGAGTTTAAGATCAGATAAACTTCTTTTTTTCAAAAAAAAAAAAAGGTATAGGCCACACAGTAGTAGATTTTGAGTGGATAATGATAGGCTGCAGTCTACAATTCCATAGTTCAAGATGCGGTCGTTGAGTCAACGCTCAACTCTGGAGCGTGAAGTATTAATTTTGTGAAGATGTGAGAACCCTCAAGACTTTCAGCGTTTCTGCTTATGTGTTGTTTTTACAGCAGCCCTCACAAATTACCTCCGACAATCAACATTCCTTCAACGGTAGTGTTTAAAAAGACTTAAAGCGCCGGGTCTACATGATCACGGAAGCTGAGCCACGGCTGTGCTATAGAGAGCGACATTACCATTCATCTTAGACAATTGACAAATTTGCTTGTGACACTGTTCCTTCTTTAGTGTAGAATTAGCCATACGCAGATTTTGATACTCGGCAGGGTATTTTATCTCACCAAGCTCTACAGTATGCTCTGACCCCTAATAAAATACTCGTATCATGTGTAATTCATAAAGAAAACGCCGGGTCAGAAGCGGTATTTAGGGGGAAAGTTGAAGATAGGTGTTCAGGTCAGCCATATTGGGCAGGAGAGATTGCATGGGCACCAAAGGCAGAGACTCTCGCCTTGCGGAATTTCCTCATGCTATATTAAACCATTGAAAAACGATACACTGCAAAAGCACCTTCGAGTAGACTCCAAGAGTAAATGACCCGTCCAAGCCGTATTCACCAATAAATAATCAAAACGTTCGGTTCAGACGTGTTATGCGGATTAAAGTAGATACTTGTATTTTAATTTGCTCTTCATATTCAATTTGATTGATACTAATCCACACTTGCAAGTCATGGTCATCTACAAATAGATTCCCATATTGAATAACTGATGCCCAGATGCCCAATATCCTTCAGCCGACTTGGATCAGCTTATTTGTAGAAATCAGAATGATCGCGTTTGATGGCATCGGCGCCTTTTTCGGCAACCATGTACACGGAGTTCTGAATCCGACAGTCAGGGATGACAGGGATACAAGATGCATCAATCACGCGGAGATTCTTTATGCCGTGAACCTTGAGGCCGGGATCAACCACCCCCTGTTGGATATTCTTGGACAGACGGGCAGTGCCACAAGGATGGAAAGATGTCTGGGAGCGATCAAGGACAGTTCTCTTCATGAGCTTGTCATCATGCAGCGGCATGGGCCATGGATACTCGTCTTCGATGATGTCTTTAAAGCCTTCTCCATTTTTGAGGACATCGTATGCGTAGCGAATACCCTCGCGAATAGCAATGATGTCGAGATCGTTATTGAAGTAATTCAAGTTGATGTTGGCTTGCTGCAGAGGATCACTGCTGTGGAGAGTCACAGTGCCGCCTTCCGACACAGGACGAACAAGATCCACCATGACAGTCATATAGTTTCCCTTACTGGGAGTAGGATAGTGCCACTGGAAAGCACTGCCGAATAAACAAACAAAATCAAGCTCAAAATGAGGCTGGCCGTAGGGGCAAAAGGGGTCTTTGTTGTCGTTGGAGGCTTTAGCCTGTCGGTACAAAGGATCTTTTTCCAGGTAGTCGTCAATGCGAGGGAATCCGACCATTTCCAAGAATCCCGATCCCAGAGGACCACGGTGATTATTTTCGTATGTTTTGATCGCCTGGTCATTGTGGGGAGTTCCTTTCCGTAACACATAATCGTCCATGCCAAATCCGTCTTTGAGACGCAGAACGAAAGGAACACCGGGATGATCCAGCAGATGTTGCCCCACATGAGGGCTATCGACAACCACTGGGATGTTGTGTTTTTTGAGCTCGGTAGAGGGCCCAATACCACTCAACATCAGCAACTTAGGGGTCTCGAAAACACCTTCAGATACAATGACCTCACGGGTGGCAAAAAGATTGAGCTCCTGGCCGGAGCCGAGGATGACAGTCACACCCTTACAAGTTTTGTCGGCAGCGTCAATAATAAGACTCTTCGAATGGGCCCGAGGGAGAATCGTCACATTGGACTTGTCAGCAACACAGAGGAAACTGCCGGATCGACGACCCTTGTAAATAGTGTTGACGCTGTGAGTAAGGCCAGACATAGTGCCATCAAAGATATTTTCGGTGACTGGGTGACCAGTGGATTTCCATGCCTTTGTGAGAAGGTCTCTGAAAGGCTGCATCTCAGGGATGAGCTCCGAGTGAGCGATTGGGATCGGACCACCCCCGCCAATCTTCTTCATGTCTGGGGAAAATGCGTTGTGATCGTCGTGGTATGTAACGCTCTTCCGCAGATAAGGTACAAGTGGATCCCAAGTCCACTCTTTTCCCCCGTACTCTTCCCACATGTCAAAAGTACCCTTGGACCCAGGTGCCCAAGTGAAATAATTCAAGGATGAACTACCGCCGAGCACTTTACCCCGTGTATTGGGTTTTTCAATGCGCTCGTAATCATCGCGCTTCACCATGGTGGTTTTGAACGACCAGTCATACTCGCTATCACGAAGTTCCATGGCATTTGAAGGGACTCTGATAGGCTCTAGATCCTTTGCGTTCTCAACACCTGCCTCAATGACAAGAATCCGAGCTTTGGGGTTCTCGGCGAGGCGACCTGCAACGACGTTGCCGGCTGTGCCCCCACCGACGACAATGAAGTCGAATCTGGCATTGTTCTGGACAGTCATATTGGAGGAGAACAAATTCAAGAAAGTGTATGGGATTGAAGTAGTTGTATCGAACAAAAGATTATCATGAAGAGTGGCGGGGACAGAAACCTCAATGCGCCTTTTATAACTGCGGTGGCTACGAATTTTAGGATAAGGAGATTACAAGCAACAGCTAATTCATACATTCCCTTCCCTGTCTCCTCATCTCATGAGGTCATAGAGTCTGTATATTTTAACGCTTATGCGGTTCCATTGCCTTGCCTAAGTGGAACATAAAGAAATGTTATTAGATATTTATCTATGGGATCATTCTATTATGTACGTCAACTTTTATAGCCAGTGGCGCGAAGGTGTTCAAGCCAATCAACAAACACCCGACTGACTCGTGACGCGATTGACGTCGTGGGGCTACCAAAAGCCACGCAGTGGGTATCCAACCGGGTGGGGCATGATCGTCGGTTCAAGGGTCTGGGCAGTTCTCTGCACGAGGTGATGCAAGTGTGGACAAATCATATGGACTGAAAGAAAGAACTACGTCTGTGCTACTCCCAACAGCAGATTTCTCGCAATGGTTGGGGGAAATTTTTACTTTTATTCAGATATCTGAGTGGTTGAATGCTATTGCCTGTTTGGAATAGCAACAACCCTGCTTTCGGTTCCAGACACCACGTTCCGGTTCCAACCCCTGCTACATGGTTCATGCTCAGCAGTCTGAAACCGTCCATAGATCTCCCTAAGTAGTGCACTCTAATACAGACTTGGCAATTCATTCTCCACATTG